CGAGTAGGCAGGATAAGATTGCCCGTCGCGGGCAGGAGAACGGGACTGTTCTTGTCAAATATTTGGATTGAATGCTATTAAATTACACTGATAAAGAGCACTTATCAGATAAACTTGTATGCTTCAGAAAACTTAAAATCTGACCACATAAAAATATTTGCTACAATAATGATCTGATTATCATAGCAATGATCCTAGATTATTTGGATTTATTGTAAATTTTTAATTCGGGATAGGAAGGAGCATTGCTGATTTCATCCTACTCAATGGGGGAAAAAAAAAAGACTTTGGGTTCCACGAGTTGCACTTATTATGACTTGATTTTAGTTGCCTTCCATGGATATATGATCTAATAAACTAAGTCATAGACGTTAAATGCTAACTGTATGTGGTAGTTTCTATTAGTCTGTTTGAATCACCTTAAAGTTAGATAAAAGTTGCATTTCTTCGAAAGGGAAAGTACCCAATGCACATGTTGAACTCTGACTGCTGATTGCAGGCACGAGATTGTAGGTGAAGTAACTGAGGTTGGTAGCAAGGTGGAGAAAGTTAAGGTTGGGGACAAAGTGGGAGTAGGATGTTTGGTTGGATCATGTCGCCAGTGTGATCAATGCACCAATGATCTTGAAAACTACTGTCCGAAAGTGATATGGACCTATGGCTCGGTTTACACTGATGGTACCCTTGCACATGGAGGTTATTCTAATTTAATGGTTGTTGATGAGCACTTTGTTGTTAATTGGCCCGAGAACTTGCCCCTTGACATTGGTTCTCCTCTCTTATGTGCTGGGATTACGACTTACAGCCCCTTGAGGTACTTTGGACTTGACAAGCCCGGAATGAATATTGGTGTAGTTGGGCTTGGCGGGCTTGGACATGTAGCTGTGAAGTTTGCCAAGGCTTTTGGTACTAAGGTTACAGTTATCAGTACATCTATTAATAAGAAGAAGGAAGCTATTGAAAAGCTTGGTGCTGACTCGTTTTTGGTTAGCTGTGATCCAGAGGAGATGCAGGTGAGAGGAATCAGGATTTTGCTTTTATTTTATTTTTTTTCAATATTCTGCTGAGACATGAAACCACATGAATCTCTACAATTGTTTCTGTTCAGGCATCTGCTGGGACGTTGGATGGGATCATCAATACTGTATCTGCTACTCACCCTCTTGTACCCTTGATTAGTTTGTTGAAGCCTCATGGAAAGATGGTACTGGTTGGTGCTCCGGCACAGCCATTCGAGTTGCCAGTGTTTCCCTTGATGGCAGGTAAGCAATTCAATTGATGTTTCTCATTCTCTTGGTCCTTAGGTCTTTTACAGCATGTTTGGATAAGCTTGAAAAGTTCACTCAAAAGAAATAAAGTTTAAAATAATTATTCTTTTATTAGTTAAAGTTAAAGAAAACTAGGGGGTCCTTTTGCTAAAAAATAGTGGCTCAACATCAATGTTTGAAAAACCGGCTTGGTATCAACCAAAAAGATCAAGGCTCTAAGGGTTGAACCGGTGGTAAAATAAAAGCAAAATCTAGGGGGTGGTTGTTTCTCTGTTTCCTGTTTTTACCCTAGAACTTAACCAGGATTTTGGAACGGTTCCCAGTTCTATGCTCTAACCGGCTGGTCCGGTCGGTCTTAATATTGCTAAATATACACAATGGAATATAGGTAGAAAGATAATAGCTGGCAGTGGAGTTGGAGGAATGAAAGAGACCCAAGAGATGATTGATTTTGCAGCAAAGCACAACATATTACCAGATGTTGAGATCATCCCCATTGATTATATCAACACTGCAATTGATCGCCTTACGAAATCTGATATTAAATACCGATTTGTTATTGACATTGCAAATTCATTGAAGCCCGAGTAATACCAGCATGACAGTTTCATGAAGTCTGGCTTCATTAGGAAAATGTGTGCTATTGTCTAGGCGAGAAGACTGTCGGGAATTTTCTTCCTGTGGCCTATTTTATTTATCATCTATCGTTCTACTATTTTGTAGTAATGTGGGATACTCACGAGTAGTGTGATTTTCGGTATGTGCTGTATGCATAATACTCCATGATTGTGGTTTGAATGAAGGCCAGCTTTGCTGATTTTGTGCTGTTTTCTTGATTTTTTAAATTTTCTTAATTTGTTTCGACTCCTTTTCGATTTACAAACTCCCATAATTCTTCCTTCCCGGGCTTGTTTAGGAGGTCGCAAAAAGAGAGCTCTTGGGATATAAAATTCATATTAATTTCAAGAAAGGAGAGGAAAAATTAAGAATCAATCAATAAGTTGGGGTTTCAAGATTTTTGTAAGAAGAATTTCAATTTTTTGTGTAAGATTGTCAACTTTTTCTAAGGATGGCCAAAAGACCTGACAAACACTATACTCGTGGGGCGCTTAATCAGGTATTCGGGGGCAGGGAAGAAACAGAAAATTTTGCCCCTGGGCGGGTTCAGGGTAGAGACGGGTAACGGGGGTCTCGTCCCGTCCATTAATTTTTTTATTTTTTTTAGAATTCAATATTTTAAATGAAAATTTCTATTAGTTCTAATAGAAAATAACAACTAAAATTATTTGTCTAAATCTAATGAATATGGACAATAAAAATAAATTATATAAAAAAAATTAAACGGGCATCCACCCCGCCCTGTCTTAAATGGGTAATCTCCTCACCTCGTCCCGTTGTCATCCCTTTGACTTTTCTTTGTTTTTTCTTCAAACTCATTGATGTAATTGAACAATTAGTCATCCCTTTGACTTTTCTTTGTTTTTTCTTCAAACTCATTGATGTAATTAAACAATTAGTTGGGACGAACAGTTGTAACTTAATTTGTACTTTCTTTTTTAATTATGTAGTTTCAATCTTATTTGATTTTTGCTCCTTTTTTAAATGCTTCTGATTACTTGGCATTAATTTATTAATTTGTGAGCGATAATTACGTCGAGATGTGAATTATATATTTATACAACCTGTCCAATTTGGATAAAATGATTGAGATGCGTTTGAACAGGTGGCGAGTTCATTAATTTAATTTCTTGGAGCTTGAATGCATTTTGATTGAAACTTATTTGGATTAACATAGAGAAATGGTGAATTGACTTAGCCCTCGTTGTCCATTAATTTATAATACATTTTTCTATCTTATTTTTAATCGCATATTTTTCAATAAAATAATATTATATACAAATAAAAAATTCCTTTTTTTTTTGGCAGCCACACTTTCTTTGAAAACACACTATTTCAAAAATTATTTCATCAAATAATGGGGGCCAAACGGCACTTATTTAGATACAAGTGATTTTGACATGTGAAAGGTAAATTAATCAATTTAGAATAATTCGATCGGGACACATAATTAAAAAATTCGTGATTGAAATTAAGGATTAGTTAGTGAACTAGGTTATTCCATGAGAGAGAATAAATACTTGACTATTAAAGATATGAGAATAATCTACTTAAAAGCTTATGATGATTAAATTGATTATACACGCATATCGATCAAGTATTGAACAGGTAAAGAATTAGTCCATGTTGAACACCCATTTTCAGAACTCATTTTTTCTCAACTTCATTTCAACCTACAACTTTTATCGACTTTTATCAAAATCTACTAAAAATCTGATTGTTAGTTAAACCAAACAGGGGCTTGGTTTTATTGCAATGTTTATGATTTTTTTTTTATTAATTGTTGAACAATTTAAATACTTTATGCGAGTTCGAGACAAAGTTATCTAATATCTTTTATATTTTTTGTTTATGAAGTTGAATCGAAGTAATTAAAAATTAACCGGATGGCATGAAAATGATTAGAAGTAAAAGGAGATCCATAACAATTGCAAGTTTTGAGGGGTAAAATTCAATTTATGAAAAGTTTGGAGACTAAACTATACACTTTTGGAACTTGAGATAGACCAATTTCGAATGATTATGAAGTTTTGGAAATCGATCTAAAAGAGTTTGAAAGTTTCAACATCAAAATTGAAGTTAGGATAAAAAGATCAAAATTGGGGATCAAATTGCAACTTTCTGAAAAGTTTGTGATTGGCCGCGGTCTTGCATGGCTAATTGTTTGCCTCGGTTCATTGCGGTTTGCAAATCGCTATAGACCGGAGTCTGGACGAAGGTCCGATCTGTCGGCCCGCTTTGCTAATTTTATGCCTTTTTATGATTTTTGAGTTTTCTTGATCTGTTTTGACTCCTTTTACAAGAACAACATTCTTCCTCGCCTAATAAATAGATGTTGTTTAGGACACATTATGCCTTTTTATGATTTTTGAGTTTTCTTTACAAGAACAACATTGTTCCTCCCCTAATAAATAGTTGTTGTTTAGGACACAAAGAGAGTCTTTTGAGATTAAGGATGGCAACGGTTCGGTTCGGGGTCGATTCGATTAAAACCATAATCGCACTGTCAAATTTTTAGTCATATCATAACCGCATCATAATCACGTAATTTTTTTTTTCCCCGGTCGGGTTGGGTCGACCACCAAAATCCGGAAAACCGCCCAAAAAATGCAAAAAACCGACCCAAACCGGTCGGTTTGGGTCGATTCGGTCAGTTTGGTTTGGGTTTTGCCCACCCCTATCCGGATTGACACCTCTACTCTTGATTAAGCCTATGGGGATTCAAATAGAGATATAATGAGTTGACCTAATTGGATAGGATTTGTTTGAAATCGAGAGAGGTAAATCAACTAGTTTAAAAGAATTTGACTAGGTATACGTAATTTATTGTTATCAAAATTAGCAATTGAGATTAAGGGAAGAGCTATGGCGAGCTCTTGAATATTAACACTCAAATCATCATATAAAAGATCCATGTACGCAAGTGTTAATTGTTTTCATATATTTACAATTTAAAAAAACACAAAAAAAAAAAAAATATTTAGTGGTTTTCAATCGAATTGAAGTTAAGAATAA